ATACCACTGAGTAATAATATATCAGCAAAATTAGTAATAATAAACCTCTAAAAGTAGATAATGCATAATATAAGTTTTCTAATCGATGTAAAAAGGTTTTCGGTAGATATAAAATCTATTTTCACTCAAATCGATAATTAAGTGGTAGATAATAACGTCATGTTCAACTCGGCGAAAGTTCAATTTAGCATATAACAACCTCGATTCGATGCTTGAAAAAAATTCAATAAAAATGCGTGAAGTTAAAATTTCTGTGATAACCGAACTGATCGATTTGCATATCTCTATTCTATGTAGTCGTCGAACGAAGTCTTTGAACCTTTCACCGACCATTCTGAACGATGTAAATGGCATGAAGAGAGATATTAGTTAATCGCTACGGAGGAGCCAATTTGCATTGCTGAATTATCCGCAGATATACTGATACGGATATGGATATGGATATACTGGATAATATGCAGGAACGACAAGTTGATAAAATCATAAAACCACTACTGGCGTGTGGTAATACTTCTTGGGGAAACTTGGCTAGAACTAACTTGCCATGGGGCAAAAAAATATTAGATAAATAAATCATTTTGAATAGTTTTCAGAAATTTGCAATGATTTCAAAGTTACTGAATTTAAACAAAAATCCATAATTTGCTAAAGGATGTTTATATTCACATAAAAATAAAAATTTGACAATCACTTGAAACGACTGTTTTAAACTTTACCAAAGAAATAACTTAAAATGTACTTTAAGGGGTCAATTATCTGATAAAATAGACAGTGAAATAGTGTCGTTATGGCAACACTATGTTACGCTTTTTTATTCATATAAATTGATTATAAAAACTGTCAAAATTCCAAGTATTTGCTTGTGCAATCAGGCGTTTTACACAACCTAACTTGACGTGTGTGTTATCATGACACATCAGTATGATGCAGTTATGGTAACATTCCTTTGTTGACGATTATGCGATTTATAGATTAGGTTTTATATTTAAAACGCCTGCTACACAGCCAATATATAGCTTTTAGACAGTTTTTACTACAATTTTATATGAAAAAAGAAACGTTGCTATAACAACGTTATGTTAAAATCTATTTTATCGGAGAATTGGACCCTGAATTTATAGAAAAAAAAACCTTTGGAGTTCACTAAAAATAAACTTATCCTCATCTATGAAAATAACCTTTGAAATTTACTAAAAAATAAATAATCTGAACTTTACTAATAAAAACTTTTCAATTTTAGTAATAGGTATAACTTTTGAATTATTAGTATGTTCTTTAAATTTAAGGAAAAACTTTAGTTCACTTGGAGAATAATCTTTAAAAAAAATTGCAAGAGCAGGAAAAGCTTTTGAAAATTGCTAAAACAAAAAGCTTTCTAAAATTACTAAAAAAATAAACATTTTAATTTTATAAATTGGAAATTTATTGTAAGTACCATATCAAAGTATTGCATTTAGAAGAAAAAATCAAGAATCTAATATTTAGTGCAAAAACTACTTTTTAGTTAAAAAAATATTAATTAAACTATGCATAGGTGACAATTTGCCTGAAGGCATGTTGCAAAAACTTCCCGATATGTGGAAATAATCGATTCATCAACAAGATTTAAGAACAATTCAAATTGTAATGATATAATTTTGAAATGTTGACACTACCAATTATGAGGGTTTTTTTATAATTTTCCTAGTACTACAATATTTTATGGTATATACGTTACGATCATGATTTGTATAAAACTCCTATCACAATCGCAAAAAAATCAGCAAATATTTTCGCTTAGATGCCCAGACCAATTTCTACCAATAATTTAGCATAATTCCTGACTTAACTTTCAAACAAGTTTTTGAACTTTCAAAATCGGTTCAGATTTTTTTTCAAATTTATAAAGAGTAAAGAAAAAATTTCATACTTTTCTGCTAACACTGAAAAGGCGGGTAATTGTGTTTTGAAATTGTTACAGCCATTTTAGTGTCAAACGATTCAGAATAGCTCGGCATGTCGAGAAAACAAAATTAGCAAATAGCATTTTTTAGCGAAGGCAAACTTCTTCGGGAATTCAATATAGTATAAGTTTGAAATGAACCAAAATATTTTTAATACAGGTCAAATTTTATTAAGAATTTTGCGAATTCTGAAATTTGGGTTGCTCAAAATTATATGCAGGACACTTAAATCAAGGGCAACGTTCCTTATTACTAATCTTTGTTGCACATTTTAAATATAGTACTTGATGTATGCAATTTGATGAAAACATTTTACAATACTAAAAAAATATACAATTTCTGAATAATAAAAACATTGTATTCAATGTTCTACTATATTTACGCTACTCTGTAAATTAAATCAGCGTACACAAACAAGTCCACAATTCCAATGAGAAACACTACAAATAATCTAATAAATTACAAATTGCACTTATTCAGACTCATTCAGTCAAAGTCCTAATACAATTAAAAAGGTAAATAGAAGTAATTTCTGAGAGTGTTGATCTAACATTTACACTTATTAATCTTAGCAAATAACGAGAACAGTTTTCAGAATGTTTATTTAAAAACATTATAAAATAGAGAGCAGTATCATTCGTTCAGAAACCGCTAAAATATTAGTGAATTTGTTAACTGACTAAAACCAGATAATCGCGTTCGCGAATTCGTTAAGCAAAATATATACATTTTCGGAATTAACAGAAACTGGAATGCACGGGGTAGACTATTTCGAACTGGATACTAATAGAACAAAAGCTAGAACGCTAAAATACTAATTGCATGTACAAGCACGGCTGCAATTTTCAATATATACATATACATTATACATATGCATATACCTACATATATACATATGAACAAGGTAACTAAATAGGAAGTGCTACCTACAGTAGGAGAAGAAATACCTATATTCGATACGATATGAAAAAAACAGATGTGACCCAAGACTGACATCAGTCGGACATTGATGTCAAATTTCCATTTGAGGTTATAGTTCCCTTCCTATAAATCATAAAAATATTAACAAATACTTCGAGTATACTTAATTAGTCACAACTGAACAACTACTGGGTTGGCGTCTATTCAAAATTAATATAATAATTATATTGTAGTCATTACTAAATGCAAACAATTACTAAATGCCCTAGTATGACAGATTATAATAAAAAGTATGAGAAATAAAATGTAACCCATGTTAGGCAAAAATTTCTAAGAGTAAAAAATATTCAAATAAAGACATCATGACAATTAAATTTGAACAAAATATTTCTTACAAACTTAAATTTTTCAAAAACAATGCGTTTCAAATTTGAATAATATTAAAAATCAAAAGGCTGTGTTAAAAAAATTGAAACAATGTGTTCTGGATTATATAGATTCAGGATATTCAAAAATTAAGACTGTGTGTTCTGTATATTCAAGTTCAAGATGCTTATGTTAATAAATTATCGTCGATTTTTAACCATTGACTTCTCTATATAGATCCTACTAATTGAATTTGCAAACAAACCTAGTTTACTGATAAAAGGTAATTAAATGAATGAACAAAAATCCTTGTAAGTAGATTTATATATGACGATTTTGAATCTATTTTCCAGTTTTTTATTCACAATACTTTATCCGTTAAAAAACATTTTCTTTTAAATATTCGAAAAAAGTTATCAAAATAATAGAATATTAAAACAATATTAAACTATAACAGAAAACAGAAAGAAGGTGATTCTATCTCAATTCATGGTCATCCCAAATATGATTTTTTTCATTACAGATAATCTATGAGATCCAGAATTTCTACGAGTCTATGTAATAATACATCATTTAGAGATATCCTCCTCTGAGGAGATGCCCTTGTAGATATTAATCTATATTAGTAAAAGAACAATACTCAAATTTTATTAGTACGTATTTTGGGCAGCCGTAAATAAAATTGAATTTTGATTTCAACTACATTTTTTCACTTGATATAAAAATATTGTATCTTAAGAAATATTTTTTTGCTCCGTGATCTGCAAGTCAATAAGCAATAGACGTATTATGCGTTGCAGAAGCAGGAAGAATTCTAAAAATTTCATAACCAGTGATTTTCTTTTGTTATTTCACTCATATTTAAATAATGTAAGAGATTCTTCGATGAATTACTCATGGTAAAAAAAATGTAAATAACTATATTAGAAATACTCATATTTACAACTAAACTTCGAAGAAAATACCATTCAAAAAACTGATGAAGGAAACGACTATTCCGAATCAATAATAATATAAAACTCTAAGAAATGGAAATTTTAGCTTAATTTTGAATTATTCAACATTATAAAAGTATTTTCTATTAACGAAATACACATGTTGATAAATATTGTGAGATAGAAGAAAAAGAAATTTGTGAGATGCTGAATACTTTTTGGTCCAAAATGTGGACAAAAAATATATATTTCATAACTTATTAAATTTAAGAACAATTCCGTTAGATTTAGCAATTTAACATATAATTTACTTTTACTGTAAATTCATCTCATCAATTTTCAAATTTGAAATGACTGCCACTGTAAAATCGAATCTCTGCAAAATAGTCATCAAAATTACTGAATATCTTTCCAGGCAGATGGTAAATATATAAACATTAAAAAAATATATGTTTACGAAAAAATATATTTATGACACAATTAACTAACCCTAACAAATAGACTAAGCTTATTTATAGACGTTCTAATAAGATTATTTTATTTCACAATCTTTTTAATTTTTAAAACAATATTTTTCAATAATATGGAATATATGTGGGCATATACGACTGGGTTATGATTTAAATGAAGATAGTTGATAAATATGAAATTATTACAAATATTAAACCAAAAAATAACAAAAATTAGTATATAAATATCCAAAATAAAAATTTGGAAATGCGATTCAACACTACAATCACCTCAACATATGCCTTGAAGTTAACGTTGATATTTGATAAAAAATGAACATATCAATAATGCCGATATATGTAAATAAAATATATAAAAAACTTACCTGTCAGAAAAAGCACGAAAACTAACATAAAACCTGGCACAAAAAGTCGCAATTCTGGATTCATAATTACCAACTGCATATACAGTCTTATCGAACACTAATTTTTTGTTGATCGTTTAATAACTCACTGAACGTGATCACTTTATAAATACGAATAAGTTTTGAATTACTATCAGATTAATCGATTGTTGAAAAACATCACTGACACACGCACATTGCATTTGGATGATGCACCTGTAAAACAAATGAAGATCGTTATTTTATATCATTTGTTTGATAAATAAAATAGTTCGATAGTAGATTGTACACAAACAATGTAAGGAACTAAGAAGTAAACTAGGAATTGTTAGGATAACGATAGATTCAACTTATAGGATTTTTTTATGTATCTGTTATTATACATAAAAAAATCCTATACTTCCATGAAGTTATTCTTTTTCTCATTTATTGCAACAAAATAAGTAGAAGAAATTTTATGGACTACTCATAAAATAAACTTCGTCTTGCGATGTAATTTTTATCACGTGTTGAACGTAATATTGAATTTTATTTTATATATGTATATATATATACATATATATATATATATATATATATATATATATATTTATATATATATATATATATATATATATATATATATATAAACACATACATTTTTATAATTTAAGAATATATATGGTTCAATTCAACAAACCAAACCAGAAATACCTAGTAATTTTTTTTATTAATATTTAAACATTAGTTATTATAGCATAATCATGAAGAATGTGAAAAATCGATTGAGTTTTGTTTTCACTGATATTGATTGCCATTTAGATATTGTTAAACCTGTTTCTGCATAATGTAAATTGTAATATTATGTAATTGTTACTTCAATACATTCGAAAAATATTACGTAATTATACCTCATAAACCAAAACAATCTTTCAGAAAGTACTTTTTAAACAAATTAAATGCATAGGATAAAAATAATAAATTCAGATAAATCTGAATGTGGATAGAAAAAAGGTATTCTGGAACATATTCTGAAATGTGAAAAATATGAGGAAAACAGAAAAAGTTGTTAAATAATATATATAGTAATTTAGATATTATTAAACCGTTTAACTTAGATATATTAATTATTATATAAGAATAGCTATAAAGTAATATATAAATTTTTAATTAGATAAATTAAAACATAAATAAGTATAGTTAAAATTTTACTGAAAATGTTCGAGTTTGGAGGTATTATAGTAAAATAATTATAAATGACTAATTGCGTAATTAGAGAAAGTTAATAAAGAAAAAAAAACAAATTAAAAGGCTTCCTAAATATTTTTAATGCATTATACAATAAATGATAAAAATATTCAAAAATATCTCAGTACGTTACTTACTATTAAATTTACGCCTAATACCAAAATCCTTGAACCAGTTTTATTAAAATTTAGAGAAAAATGTCTTTACCACCTTAGTTAATTTAAATTAACAAAACGAGCAGAAATAGCTGAAGATAAATGTACGATTCATATAAATATATTTTACAAAGCAATATTTTCAAATATTATAAACGACATTTTATTACAGTATATATTTTATTATAAAATATATAACGGAATATAATATATACAACGGAAGAAAATGAAGCCGTTCAAAATTTATGCGATTTAGCATAAACTGCATATTAAACAATATGATGAAACATTTTCAAACATCTTAGTTTAAAATTTTGTACTACTTTTTTATTTTAAATTACACTACACTATTGAAAAAAGTTGCTGTGTACCATCTATAAAAAAAATTCTGAACCCTTATTAGATTTAATAAAAAACCTTTAAAAATAATCTATTAAAAATTTGTAATTCTTCATTAATAATACCGCACTAAAATAGATTTGTTTGTTTTGATTCTTAAATAATAAACTTGAACAAACGGAGCAAATTTATAAGTCATAGAATTCACTTAACCAAAATTAGCACCAAAATTTGCATTGTATTATAATTTTTTTTAATCTGATCATGAGTTCTTCGCATCTGGATATCATCGTAATTTGAATATTAATGACTCACATATTTTAATAGTAGAATTATATAATTACATAGGAATACATGTACTTGAACCTACAACAGGTTTTTTATGAAAAAAATATCGTGAAAATATATAAATATAATTGCAATTGAAAATATAATATTTCCGTAAATGTATTGATTCAGAATTGGTACAAAAATCTATAGGTATAGCAACTTGAAATAAATTTCTGTATATGAATAAATGAAGATCAAGTTTAAGCTAAGCATCAATTTCAGGTAGCAAAATTTAAATTATAAACTGAATTTGAAATAAAATAACATTTATACTGAATAATTGTTAATGAAAATATATTATATCCATAACATTATATTTTCAGAATTGATACGCATATCTGTATGTATTGCAATTCGAACCGAATTTCTGTGCATTCGGATGATCAAGTTTAAGCGAAGCATTAATTTCAAGTTGCAAAAAACTTTAAATAAAATTTGATTTTTTTACGTTTCAGTAATGTTTACACCAGTCCTCAAATTCAAAATAAATAAAACTGTAGGATTCTACAATATGACTAAGAATACATAATCTTCTGGTTATTGTCAAAAAATTTTCAAATTGACAAATGTTAATGTATCATGGATTTCTATTACTAATATTTTTCATATGATAATAACACGTAATCTCCACAAAAATACCAAAAATTTTCACATGCGCCATGCTAACTTTATTAGATACTTTAGCTAAAAATGTATCATGGAAACTTAAGGCATTAAAAAAAACGTTTACCAAAATTCCTGGTAAAACACAATTTTTATGTCACACATATGTGAGTGACATGGCTTTATACTAATTGTAAATATTTTTTCTTCTTCTACCAAAAATCGCGTATATCAGACATATTTGTCCGACATGGAAATTTGCGTCTAACAATATATATATATATATATATATATACAGGGCCGGATTTAGAAATTTGGCGCCCCGGGGCACTGACAAAAATGCCGCCCCATTCCTGAAAATTTACAAACTTTCGAACTTTTTTTTAAAGCAATCGCGCTGCTTCAGCTGCGAGGGATAAAATATAGAAGCGCGTAAGCGCCGCGTCGCAGTCTAACGGATAAACAATGTTACAGAACTTATATAAATGTAAACAAAATTTATACTTATTATTATAATATCTTTAAAATATCTGATAATTTAATGTGCATATGCCTTATGATCACTTTTGTCCGCCAAATGTTTCTTTCTTTATTGGATCATCGAAACCGCTAAACCTGTCCCCCACAAATTTAAGCAGTTATTTATTCTGTAAATTTTTTTGACTGTTATTGGACGCTTTTTTCTCAAAAACTGAATTATCATTTTTGCCATTTGGGCCCGTATCTTCAAAACAATTGGACCTGCCTTGACCAATAACTAATCAGCACGTCTCCTTATCAATAGGAATTGAATCAAATCGGTTGACACGTGTTCTCGAAATCGACTTGAATAATTAGAAAATATTAGATTTGTATTGATGGGGAAACGTGCTGATTAGCTTTTGGTACAGGCAATTACGAAAAATGGTAACTGAGTTTCGATATTTCTTCTCTGAAACAGATACACAGCGCGATTTCTTGGGAAAAAGTTCATAATTTTTGAATAATTTCAAAATACAAAAAATGTGTTTTAGAAGTCTTTTTTTTCATTTTTCAATAAAATTTAAAGCTCTTTATAAAATGTAATTTTCAGTACGGGATGTTTCAGTAATTTGTCTTAAGGCACAATGCCATGAGTCACTAGTTTAAATTTTTTTTTGACGCTATAAGCTTGGAAGTGCACAAATTTGTCGTCTTAAGAGGGCTCGAGAACTGAAGAACATTTGTTTTTAAACTTTCAGCTTGTTTACTTAGCTTATATATATTAGCCAAATTGCCAAATTTGATAACTTATAAACCAATTTCATAATTTACGTTCGGAGAGGGAGGCAAGGCAAAATAATAAATTTTATTTATCGTTTATTTCAACCCAAAATTTGCATTGCAATCGTATTATGTTTTGTTAATTATATTTCTTGAAATAAAAAATGTTGTTAAAAAAGTTGATTATATTGTATAGAATTTTTTTCTCACTATCCAAATTTTGCCGCCCCCCAAAATTTGCCGCCCTGGGCAGTAGCCCCGATTGCCCCTACTGTAAATCCAGCACTGTATATATATATATATATATATATATATATATATATTGTATGATTCTGAATTTGATGTTGACATATGTGTTAACAAAGTCTAGTAATCGGGCATATGAAAATGAAATGGCATATGAAATTATTGTGTAATTATAAGTTTAATGTTTACAATACATAGTGTAATGCATTACCATATCCTGATAATATGGATTATTTAAATTTTCCAATTTAACACTAAGATTAACTAATTGTAAGTACTATTTACTATTTTATTTTTTCTTTTCACTCCAATTCAATTGTTTTAGTTTTTAATTTTATTTTTAGTTTGCACTGTATGAAGGCTAGAATTATAGCCGAAACGTATGGATTTAAAATAAATTTTTGAAAAAAAATCATGTTTTTTATTGATGTTATGGCCGATTACTAGACTTTGTTAATATATATTGTCATATATATAACAATATATTTTGAAGCAACCTTCACGAACATTTATGAATAATTTAAATATGAAATAATTGATTTTAGTGATATTTATATGCGTAAAATAACGCATTATTAACATTAAACATTATATTAAGATCATGCAGCTATTGGCTTGCATATAATCGAGCTTCATAAAATTCATGTTATATCAAAATATCAAAAATCAATAGCCAATTTTCAAAATCTCTGGCAATAGCTAAAAGATTTAAGTTTTAAAGTCTTTTCTTTGCCTACAGTTTTACTTGTTGCCCATTTTAGGAGAGGTGTAAAAATAGCTAATATAAACAAAAAACAACAACTTTAATATAATTTGTACTTAATTATATCACTATCATCTTTCATAATATACCTTTATAATTCAAAAGAAATAGACATTGTTTAAACATCTATTCAACTCCATTAACTAAGTCTAAAGTTAATTATTAATCCCGATCTCGATCTCGAAAAACACGTGCTCGTACCGTAAGAGCTAGGACCGGCGCAAACACTATACCGACATTCTCGGTCGCCTCACGAACGCATACTGAACGCAATTCGTACTATCGTCGCTGACCGACTGTTACGCAAAAAGCGGCCGAATAATCTGCGCATGCGCAAACGAGTACACCTTGCGCGTGTATTCGGCAAAACTTGAACCTGTTCCTCTCACATTATTGAAAGCGTTTTTGCTGTCAGTGGCACCACGTGGTCTGTCTGCGTCAAAACAATACGCGGTTAGCAGACAGCGTGCTTTGTTAAGGGCTCTTCTCGAAGACGATACGCGATACGGATTTCTTGTGGAAGTCTTGTTGAGTCGAGATGTAGAACTTTTGTTTGATATTTCGAGAGTTAACTGTTAGCGAACGTGAATGTTATAGCATTCATTTTCATTGTGTTGCAGAATAACGATAATGCTATCAACTTTTAAAGCCAATTATTTCGGATTTAATTTTATTTTACTTTGCGTTTTTGTAATTAGTATACCTGTCAAAGTAATGACTAACAGATTCTTTAGGTATTTTTATCCTAAGCTTAAGCAAGCAAATTCATCATTAAAATATGATAACCTGACTTTTTAAAATTTAAAACTTTTTTTTTTAATATTTAGCAATCAGAATACATAAAGATTCCTATGAGCTAAATTGACAATATTTAAGAGCGATGCCTAAGAAGAACTCCAATGAGATCTTCTCAGTTTAACAATTAATATGATAATATTATATTAGACCTAATCTAAGACTAAGTCTAATGGCCATTGTCGTTTCAATCTCCTTATGCCAAAAGGTTGAGTAATGTCAACTATTGATGGGTTCGAATGCGAGTCCAGTTTGCGTTTGTATTTTTCCTCGAATTCTTTGAACGTTAATTGCACCGTTTTCATGTTGAGGTCGCTGTGAATGATTTCATTTGTCACGTACCACGGAAAATTAAGAATTGTACGTAAAATTTTTGACTGGGTTCTCTGCATTATAGCTATATTTGATTTGTAAGCACACCCCCAGAGTTCAATTCCGTAGGTCCAGATTGGTTTAATGATTGATTTATATAGCAGCAACTTATTTTCAACAGAGAGCTTAGACTTTTTACGCAGTAGCCAATCAAATTCTTTCATTTTGATCATTATTTGCTGCTTTTTTTATGTGGCTTTTCCAAGTAAGTCTGCTGTCTAAATGGAAACCAAGATATTTCACTATGTTCTGTTTAGGAATCTGGACGTTATTTAAATAAATTGGAGGACACGTACCCTCTTCTGTCAGGGTAAATGTGATATGAGCTGATTTAGTTTCATTTATGCAAATCTTCCATTTGGAAAACCACATTTGTAGTTTATTGATTTGTTCTTGCGTTTGTCGGGATGGCGAATGTAGCAAGTGTCAGATTTTCAAGTAATGCGAGGTCCTTTGTGTATAAAACATATAAGATGGGTCCAAAAATACTACCTTGTGGAACTCCTGACATTATTTTGTGGAAATCAGATGTTACTTGATTTACTTTTACTTGAAAAATCCTATCTTGTAGATATAATTTTAAAATCCCATAATACCTGGATGGAAGGAATGTTTTTATTTGATATTTCGAGATTTAACATGTTCGCGAACGTGAATGCTATAGCATTTATTTTCATTGTGTTGCAGAGTAACGATAATGCTATCGAATTTATTTCGGATAATGTTATCGAATACAAAGCCAATTATTTCGGATTTAATTTTATACAGCTTTACGCTTTTGTAATTATTATACCTGTCAAGATAATGACTAACAGATTTTTATATTAATAATAATATTTGACGCGGATGCTATACCATTCATCATTAAAATATGATAACCTGACTACCTTATAAACGGTGTTTAATCAAAATTCGGATATCAAAACCGATTTAAAACTAAAAGACATTTTTTGAGCTTATAATCCTAATTTCTTTATTTGTTAATCGCCCTGTCAGCCATATGTGTCTGACCCTAAGAATTTTACATAAGCCATGTCAGGTCAGACATATTTGCTTGGTAGGCGCGACTTGGTGAAAGAAAAAAAGTTTTAACATAGGTCTTATATTTTAATTAGTCTTATATGTAACGTAAAAAATGATGTTTTTCCAGAAGTTTTGCCAAAAAACGAGTTTTCTTTCATATAATACGTTTCCTTGATATATTTTTAACAAAATTATTCATTTGAGTTACCATGACCCATGTGAAAATTTTTCTAATATTATCATGGTGATTAACGTGCTAATATACCGACTACTATTAAAATTTCTATCGAAGAGGGAAAGTGCCATAATACGATTCTTTCTTTCTACGAAGGAAAATTGCAGAACTATATGGACTCAATGCTTGGGATAAAAAAGTTGTTACCTCTTACCTGTCTCTTTTATTAAATAATCATGAGTTGGTATTAACAAACTGTCAAACAACTATGTATTTGTTTTTCGAAAAACGGTCGGTCTCGGGTTTTACTTTTTCAAAACCTAATCTCAAAATGACACAAATGTCGAAAAACAATAATTTCATAAGTGCAACTATTTGATATCACTCATGATAACACACGTTCTGACGTTCGCGCCAATTTGGGTGTTAGGTGTTAGAAGTAGATATTATGTGAAAAAAACTCGATAGAGCAGCAAAGACAAAAATTTTTTTGCAGTTCTTTATTACCAACTCTTGCAATGTTTGCAACAAAATAGACCCTTAACATTACATAATAATCTTATGCAAAAATTAACTTTTAAAGAATTCTTGAATGGTGTACTGTGCATAAAATATTTGGAAAATTTGGAAATATAGGAAATTAATCACTAATCAGCACATGTGTGCACGTTTGCTCATTTCCAAAAAGAGTTAATTGATTAAATTATCTTCGGTTCATTATGACTTCTTTTTGTTGAATGTTCTTATAGTCGCCTCCACAGTGGCCAATATCAGAATCTATTTATAAAATTTGTTAAAGAATTGAATTTCTACGACTATATCAATTGTAATCTACATTAGTTTTTGAATAAAAGAAGTAACAAAATAGATTAGATAGATTATGAAAATTATCTGAAAACTGCTAAGCACAAATACTGAGTATTCATCTATTAAGCCTCTAGGGCAGTGGTTCAGGAACCCCAAATGGGGTAAAAATGTAATTTTTGGGGCTAAAAAGTATGTATTTTCAATTGGTATTCATTGGATTTGCTACGTAGTTGTTCACACGCGGTAATTTCTTTTCGTGATGGGGATAGTTTCAACTTAAATGAAAAAATTTGGGGTAATGATTAAAAAAGTTCCACGACCGCTAAAATTTTATTTCACAAAAATTATAGGAACAAATAATCAGTAATTTCAAACACTTTGGTAATATGTATTAACGGTTTATGTTACTTTCAAGTTACAGCAAATACTAAATTTAATTTTTGTTATATTATCATGTTGTAAATTAAACGTTAAACAAAAAGATGCATTAAAACAGGAACGGTAGTCACATGAAAGCAACTTACAAAATAGTATCGCATTCTGAAATTTTGAAATGCTTTCACATTTTGCTTTGAATAAGAGTCATCTACAACTAGTTTCTGCCTTCAGTTTGACTCATAGAATATTCTACTAAATCTATATCCATTTTGAAAACTCGTGGAAACTATATTTAAAATTTATTCCAATTAACATACTTTCTGCGGCACTCTCTTCTCGACGCCGATGGAATCCTCGCCAGCGCAGTGCCGGTAACTTTATAACTGGTTATAGGTCAAATTGCACGCTGCTGCAGTTTGTTTGGACCTCAGAGTGGAAACTTTTCAACGCTATATGTTCAAACAAACAACACTGTGCTACAGTTTAATATTCCCAGAATTATACTGGTGTTCAAACATACGTTGTAGTCAAACTAAAACACCACACTTGGATGCAAAACCCTGGAGGAACAAATGATGAATTGAAAAAGTATACTTCATTTATTTAGTTTATTACAAATATTAAGAGATTAGCAAATAAAATGTTTCAGAGTCGATTATTTCACTTGTAGTATATGAGGAAGAAAGACATTTCACTCGAAGAGAAAAAAATTAGTGATTTCACTCTTTTTGCATGCAGCCGTTTTATTAATCTCAGTATCTGTTAATAATAAATTATCTATTACCTGGCATTCGGTGGAAATCTTTTTCTGGATAAAGTTTCATCTGGACTTCTGTCATTACAAAGTTAGTACGTCCCAAATCCTGTAGGATAAGTTATGGAAATCACATAAAAAACCTTCGGGTTTTGAAGCATTTTTCTATACTATGGAAATAATAGATATACATTGCAAGTGGGTGGACATAAATGAATACATAGATCTACCACGTTTTTGGAAATTGAAAAACCAAACTGATTTTCAATTTGTAGTCCTTGACAAAAGCAATTATGACTGATTGAAAAATAATAATCATGGGTAATATGACACAATATTCACAAAAATTGTGATTTTACATCTTGCGAAAATTTTATGAATTCGTAATGGAACTATTACTGAAACAACAAAAAATAAAGTTTTATTAATGCTGTTTATATATATATATATATTAGGGTGGTCCTTAAAATGGTCATTTTCGAATTTTCTTGCTCCCAAGGGCTCAAATGGTTCCAAATTGATAAAAAACAATTCTCTGAAAGTTTTAGCTCTTAATAATAAAGTTTAGATAGAGCGCAATTCAATCATAGTTTGTATGAAAAGAGCATGGAAAAAATTTTGAAAATTAAAAAAAAATGTTTTAGGTACAACTTAGCGACAAATAAATGAGTTTTATTCATTCATTTGTTCGCTAAATTTCATTTAAAAACATATTTAAAATTTTTGAAAAATTTTCCATGCTATTTCCATACAAAACTTTGATTGAATTGCGCTCTATCTAAATGTTAATATTGAGCTAAAACTTTCAGAGAATTGTTTTTTATCTATTTGGAACCATTTGAGCCCCTGGGAGCAAGGATATTCGAAAATGACCATTTTAAGGACCACCCTAATACATATATATATATATATATATATATATATATATA